AACATTTCCTGCTGCAAACCCCCCCCCCCACCTTTTCATCTTAGCTCCTTACCCAGCATGAAAGGAGCTGTTGCTTATATTTTTATCCTCAAACCACATGGGAAGCTGTCATCAGAGGTAGCAGAACTAACTGGCTTTTTTGTTTTGCTTTTCAGGTCAAATTTCTAGTGTAAATATCCCTCCCACTTAAGGGAACAATAATCCTTATTCAATAATTTCATAGAACACCATAAAAATCACCAAGATGGACACCAAGGATGGCCCGGTCTCCTGTACCAGGATTGGACTCCAGAAGGCTCTGCCCTGGACCTTCACAGCCCCAGAACATCAGAAGAGGCGGAGTAAAAACACTGCCACAAGTTCTTCCTCCACAGAGAGGCTGCCAGCTCAGGGAAAGTGGCAGAATTTTCTGGGGCAATTTGTTGAGTGCTTGGGGAGCAGTAGGAGAAAACACTTACCTGAAAGAGATTTTGGAATGGTTAGAAGACTTTCATGCACCAAGGGGTCATCAGCTGCGTTAACCAACATGAGGGGTACATAAATCTGCAATGAGAAAATAAAGCAGACTTAAATGATGGATTCCCCTTTCTAGCCCTACTGACTCAGGGCTCAAATTCACTACCAGACGTGTCTTTGAAGCAAAAGGAAGCTTGCTAAATAGGTGGGTGAAGGGCGCTTGGTATTCACCGGCAGTGGGATGAGTCGTAAGTGTCTCTGTAATCACTGTCAGGCAGCAGGCATGTGCAGGAGCCGCAGGGGACCTGCATACTCTGGTGGAGAGGGAAGTGCTCAGTGGCACTCACTGTCAAAATACTTCTGGTCATTTTCACAGCTGTCCAAATTAGCCATCCCTTTCAGGTGAAAGACTTTATCAAGAGGTATTTATATATATATATATTTGTTCAGTTAATAATGGGGTGGATGATGAAGTGCGCCCCACTCCAGACAGAGGAGACTTCCTAGAAGAATCTGAAGGCTGAACACAGGAGCAGGGTGGGGTGGAGGATACTGGGGCACTCTGGGCAGGGTTGCATTCAGGGGCCATTTTAGCAACACAGCTAAGAGTCTCCTTTGCACTTGTGTGTAGGTGCTCACGGGGGGCTCAGATGGTGCTGAACAGCCATACTGGGGCACGGGATGGCTCTGCTATCCTGGGGCTCAGACATTAGCACTATGCACCTTTGCACTCCCCAGTGGCTAAGCCTGGCCCAGAGCCTGGATAATGATGCTGAATGAGGACAGTTGGCTAAGATAGACGCAGAGCTGCGGTCACAATGATCTGCTCCTGCTGGGGGAATGGTGGGCCAAAGCAACAGGTGGACCTCGACAGGATAATAGGGAAAGTCTGTGTGTGCATAAAAGGAGGAGTTGTACAGAGACAGAATCAGAGATCAGCTTGGTGATGGTTCAGGTAAAAAAATATATAGGGATTTTGGGTTCACCACAAACAATACACACTGTTTATTATTGTAGCTGCTAAAAACTGCATCGATGAAAACTAGTCTATAGATGTGCTCCTCCGCATTGTGACACAGAGGACCTTGTTTTTACTCCGTGCTCACCAGAACTTGACTGGAATCTGGAGTTCAGTTTTAGGTACTGTGCTATGAAATGCACAATGGTCTAGGATGGTGGGAGACAGATGGTTCTCCCATGAGCCATGGCAGAAACCAGGAGGGAAAAACTGGGCGTTGTGGCAGGGTTGAGAGCTTTCGTATCGCCTAGGGAGCAGCCTGGCCTACCGGGCAGCTCTGCAGGGAGTGTATGGCAGGCACAGACTTTGCTTCAGTGAAAAATTCAAACCCAGCTAGACTGTGGCAGAGCTTCCACCAAGGAACTCAGGAGAGGTAGGTATCTGCTGGATGTGGGTAAAAGCCACAGGAAGTGACAGGAGACCTGAGCTGGTGCTGGCCACTTACCCTGTGCAGGTACCTCATGCAGCTCTCTTCCTCGTAGTACTCCTGCAGGGAGTTATAGCCGTGGAACTTCCTGGAACACACGGGGTGGAGGTGGAAAAGGACAGAACAACATTAGTTGTAAGATCAGAAATGAACTCACTGCCTTGGGTGAAAACATGCCAGCAGCCGAGCTGGGTGTGAATGCCAAGCTGATTGTACTAGCGCCCCGGGTTCTGTACTAAGATGGGCTCTATGGAGACGGCAGCATTTGGGGCGAAGAGCTCTGGCTTTGGCATCTGTGTTAAAATCCTAGCTCTGCCACTTACTGGCTGTGTGACCTTAGCTAAGTGGCTCAACTTGTCCTCACCTCAGCTGCTCCTCTGTACACTGGGTCTAGAGATAGGACTGTCCTGGGAAGTGCTCTGAGATTTAGGATCCTGAGGTGCTTATTAGCACAGAGATTGATCCAGGCAATCAGTCAGTGTGTGCTCTTTATAGTGACTTGTGATGTCACATCATCTGAGACAGCGTAACACTACATATGACCACAGAGGAACTGAAATTCTAAGACACGTGCTAGAATTTCTTTTGAACAAAAGTTTTCCTGTTGGAGTCACTCACTGGACCACTGTGAACTGCAATGAAATACACTGGGACACAGTGATGAGACAGGGGCTCAGAGTCACAGTTCTGTGCACCCTCGGAGTGGTAATCAGGGACACATGCCATTCACCCGCACCTCTGGTGCATTTGCCTGGGAGTCTGCGGCTTTGCTCTGTGCTGTGCTCCAAGGCTGGCAAAGATCAACCTGAAGCTCCAATGCCAGGAAGTCCAAGGAAACCCAGCCAGAGCATCTCTGAAAGGCTCATTTCTTCCTGGCAAAGGGGAGGGCCTGGGTTCAGAATGGTGGATCTTTTCTGTTTTTTTTTTTTTTGGTACTGGGGATCGAACTCAGGTCCTTGTGCTTTTGAGGCAGGCGCCGGAACCACTCAGCTAAATCCCTGGTCCTGATCTTTTCTGTTTTGATGCCAGGTTCTAACATATGTCACCTCCTCTGAAGAGGTGCATTCTTTCACCTCTGATCTCCATTCAGCCAGCCTGGGAATGACCCACAAAGCAGAGGCTGGACCCTTAGGGGCCTTTTGATAGGGAGCAGGCTGCATGCAGAAATCCTCTCCAGGACCTCTGTCTTTGTGAAGTTGGTCCCCTTGTAGTCTTGGGAAAGTGTTCCCATTCTCCAGGGTGAGGGCTGCCAGAGCAGGTTATAGCCACAAAACTGCTAAAACTGAACTTGAATAAAGAGGGAGAACTGCAAAGAGATCTGAGAGCATTCTCTTTGGGGCTTACAAAACTGAGAAGGTGAACTGGGAAATTTAGGTGACTCTTTTTCTTACTAGACCTAGTAAGTCATACAGCCCATCTAAAAGCAAGGGGTAGGTATGATTCACTCTTATCTTCTCAACACACCTAGTTTCTATTTCCCCTGAGGAACTATTAACAGGCACATTTCAAGGTTACTGGGTGCAAGAAGGCTACTAAAATCTCACAAGGAAGAAAAGCATCAATCCCATGGCCTCTGTGGCTATCTGCCTATACCCTGGATAGATACAGTGGTACCTTGGTTCACGAACTCAATTCCTTCCATGACTGTGGGGAAAATGACCATGTTTGTTTTTGTGCAAAAAAGATAGACGTGTTTGTCACCCAATGCAGAGTTTGCAAACAGTTGCATTCATGAACTGAGGTATCACTGTTCTTGATCACTTTGGACATCATTTAAAGGTACTGAAGGCTGGGCATGGTGTTGCATGTCTGTAATCGCAACACTACAAAGGCTGAGAGAGGAGGCAACTAGTGAGTGAGACCCCGTCTTAAAGTAATAAAATTCAAAAGAGGGCTGAGGATGTAGCTCAGTACAAAGGGCACAGGTTCAATCCCCAGCACTGGAAAAAACAGATCAAATGTTTGTTCAATGAGCAGGATGGCCTTTTTTTGTTGTTGTTGTTAAAGAGAATGGTAAGTTCAGAGATCAGCTCTACCTGTTGAAGCTGACCTTAGTTAGAAACTACTGGTAAAAGGAAAGAAGTCTATCAGGGACAAGATCGCAGGCGCAGGTCAGGGAGGTAGACAGGGAACGAATGAAGTAGGGCCATTTGCATCTTACACACAGCAGAGTTTCCAGGCTCGCAAAGAAACAGGTTTCATTTGTCTTGCCTGACACATGGCTCTCTTGGTCTATCTTTTGGTTTTCTACTTTTGATAGAGACTTTGGGGAATACTAGAAATATTTCCACCTCCTTTGCTTCCACTGCAGAGGCAGATTTGTGTAGAATGTGGTCTTGTCCTGTGTGAGGCAGGACAGGTAGGGTAAGGACAAGGGACCATGAAGAGGGCACGCACACCTGGCTCCTCATTTGAAGCCAGCTGTGTGACACAGGATGTGTGGTCAATTCCTCTATTTCCAAGATGTTAGGATTTTTCTGTGAAAAGTTCTGTGTTTAGACACTGGACACTTTTTTTTTTCAGAAAGGGTCTTGCTTTGTAGTTCAGGCTGGCCTTGAACTCACTATATGCTCAGGATGGCCTCAATCTCACAGTGGTCCTCCTGCCTCAGCCTCCTGAATGCACCACCATGCCCAGCTGGACGCTTATTCAAAGGAAAAAAAAAGCCCTTATCACCAAGGTGGGCTGAGCAGAGCACTGGTGCGGTGCAGAGCTGGCCTATCCGTGGGGACCCACCTCATCACGTTGTCATCAATCTGTGTCAGGGACGTTGCAGTATAAAGTCTGCTCAAGTCTGTGTCCTCCAGGCTCTGGGGTTTCTTAACATGGTCTCCGAAGAGAGCGTGCCTAGAGTGAGACAGAAGCAAACAGTGAATCAATCACAGGCAGAGGAGAAGCTACTGTGGCAGAGCCGGGATCAGTGGCAAAAGCCAGGAGACAGTCCTGTCTCGAGGGACCGAGCCTGTGTGGTACCTGGAAACAGAGCCTGTTAGCTTTTAGAACAAGCGCCTGGTGTCTTGGGTAACTACAGTGAGATGAACCCCCAGACCGCGCTTTCTTTTCCAGGGCCATTTTTCAGTTCTTTGTGTAGTCTACATATTAGTCGTCCTCTGTCCAAGGAATAGGTGGCAAAATTTTTTTTTTCAGTCTAGGTTTTCTCCATAGCAGCACAATTCACGATAGCTAATTCTTGGAGGGGATCTATATGTCCATCAACAGATGAATGCATAAAGAAAATGTGTACTAATGTGCCATAAACAAGGATAAACGAGTCATTTGTAGGAAAATGGGTGTACCTTGAGACCATAATTTTAAATGAAATAAATCAGACATATAAGCTTAAATATCAGTTTCTCTTACTAAAGAAACCTTAAATATAAATAAAGAACAAAAAATAGATAATATGAAACAGGTAGTTCTTTTGCAAAAGGGAAGAGGACCAACAGATGGAGGGAGGAGGAAAGGAGGAGAGGGGATGAAAAAAGAGATGAGATGAATTATCTGCATGTACCAACTGCCCATGAGAAATATAACTGTTATGTACTGCAAGCATATACTAATATGAAAAAACAGTACTGAGAGTGGGCATAGTGGCCACTCCTGTATTCCCAGCACTGTGGAAGCTAAGGCAGTTTGAGCCCAGCACAGGTAACTTTGTGATTTAGCAAGATCCTGTCTCAAAATATAAAATAAAAAGGGCTGGAGATGAAGCTCAGCGTGAAGGCCCTGGTTCTTCAGAACACACACACACACACACACACACACACACACACACACGCACGCACACGCACGGTGAACAGAGCTGCTGGGAAGGGCACAAATGGCATGGTAGAGGTGGAGGGTGCAGGAGCTGCTCAATGACCAGGGCCAGTAAGGAGAGGCAAGGAGGAATGGGGGAGGTGGCAGAGAGTACAGTGGTGGTAATGGCACTGTGATAAAATCACATGGACCTTTGCAGGCCCTGCCCAGAGCACCCGATGGGTCCGTTTGTGGACGATGGAACGCAGGAGGCGCAGGACAAGTGTGAACGAGAAGCGGCTCAAGGCTCTGGCAGGCAGGTGCTGATGCTCTGCTCTGGGGCTGTCAGGACCCCGCTTGGTCAGAACCCCAAAGCCAGCACGGGCCACCCTAATGTCCTGCACAGAAGCACCCTGAGGAGGAGGGCCACCTTGACAGGGACAGGCCACCTAAGCCATAGGGAAAAGACTGGGGTAGAAGAGGTTTCCTGGTGTGGATTGACAGGATTAGCAATGCAGAGGGAGACTGCGCACGCTGGTAACTTAGCTCCTGACCACATTACCAGTGTGGTCGGCAGTCTGCACCACCCATCTTTTTTTCCTGGAGAATAGGAGTCCTGGCATTCGGTGGCTGTGCGCCCGTGTCTCCTGGGAGGATAGAAGGCCGTACCTGTGTGAGAGGATGATCTTCTTCATGTTGTCAGCCATGAGGAAGTTGTAGAAGCGCCGGCACTGGTCCCACTGCATGAAGGTCTCCTGGGCCCTGGAAGAACCACAGTGAGGTGAGAGGGTTGGCGTGGAGGGTGGACACCGGGACACAGGCTCCCCAAAGGGCCCACGGGGACAGACCCACCCTGATGACACTGGAACAGGGGCTTTGATGAGCAGCATTCACACCTCTGTGAAGGAGAAACCATAACCTAACAGCACTCCTGATACCCTCTTCCTGCCCAGCCTCTCTCAGTTACACAGCCTGCCAGAGGCTGCTGCAGATGTCACTTGAACAGTTCCTCCATGTGGCTGCCAGTGCAGGGAAAACCTAAAAAGAACTTTGGATGCTGACTGAGAGGCAGAGGAAAAGCACAGAATTTAATCTTTAAGTCAGCCTTTCTTTTAATTCACCTGAGGACACTGAAGAGACAGGGACACAGGAGAAGCAGCAGAGAGGCATTGATGCCCACAAGGCACAGCTGGCAGGGTGGTGGGAGAGTCTTTCTGCTGTCAGGCTGTGCCCGGTGGGCACACGCTAGCACGTCTGTCATGAGGGCCGGCCTCAGACCTCCCTGTGGTGGTCCAAGGAGGTAAGAGGATCCCCGTATTCCATACCCAAGCTTTGCCGCTGCCAAACCACAGCCAGCCTTGTCTATAGATGTCCTTACTCAGGTGCCAGGACTCCACCCATACTCGGCCATTCTTGTTGCCCCAGCCTCATGTCCCCACTTCGCACCTCCCCACCTAAGCAGGTCTCACTAACTCCTCTACCCTATCCTACCCTACTCACAAACGACCCAGCTCAATAAAATGGACTCAGACTCTCCTTTGAAGTTACTCCAGTAGGTCCCATCTGGAGCGCCCAAATTTGGGCTAGTGCTGTGTTCTTTACTGGATCATCGCCATTTACCCAATAGCTAACTGTAGCCAGGATTCTGCCAGCAGGGCAGGCATGATGAGTGGAGAGCTGCCCAGCCAGCCATGGTGAGAGCAGGTCTCAAGTCTGGCTTTGGTGGAAGAGACCAGAAGGCAGGTGGCCCTGGGCTCGGTGCACCCTGAAGCTCAGGGATGGAGATGTCTGCCTGGGGTCCACGTGATCCAATCAATAAGGGTTAGAGGACGGTGGCTGAGGAAAGCATTCAGAAGAAGCTGTGATGACACAAGGTATCATGACACACAGACTTCACAGATGACAGGTGGAGAACAGTCAGTGAGGGAGCCGGAAACTCTGAAGGGGGGGGCAAAGGACATCAGAGTTGCACGTGGCTATATACCAATGGCAGCACACAAGCAGAGTGTGAAAGATCTCAGAGGTATTGCGGGGACTGCCTGAGATGGAAAGGACCTTGTGATGGAGACCATGTGGATACGCAAAATAAGGTCAGGAGAAGCACAACAGAGCTACATGGTAAGAAAGCAGAGGTCCCGGTGTCTAAACACCCCAGGGGAAAACACGCAAAGAACAATTGGGTGAGAGCTGGCAGGTCAGGCGGGAGAAATACATTTCACATTTGAGACGCAAAGCATAAGATGGGCACGGGAGCCAAGTGCTTGACTTGGTTCTGTGTTTTTCACGACAGAAGGGATGGCAGGAGCTGCTTCTCAGGCCACTAGACGTGGCTGTCACAAGAAACCGGCTAAGGACTCAGGAAGAAGTGTGGAGTTCAGGGAAGAAGCAGCTAAGTCACGGTCATGGGGGAGGGACGGCTTTGTACAACCCAAAGGAACCCTTGTTGGTAGGAAGGCAGGTTTCAAAAATGACAGAAAGGATCATGATGGCTCCAAAAGGAAAAATATCTCTTGAGAGGTGGGAAGCTCTCAAAAAGTACTGCTGCCACTGAGGTCACTAAGGAGAAGAGGAGAGCAACCCCAAAGCCAGTATGCTTTCACCAGAACTCTTATTTGAGAATGGTAACTCGGATTTGTGAAGAGTTTTATGCATCCATCTACCTACCTATCCATTACCAAAATAAAACTCTCTTATGGTGTCTTCACCACTCCTAAGCACAATAAGTAATAACAAAATATTATCCATACTGGTTTCATAGCCATTTGTTTTGAACTGTTAAAATAAATTTATTTATTAATTTAATTTTATTTTATTTTTTTGGTTTTTTGAGACAGGGTCTCACTGTGTAGTTGAGACTGACCTGGAACTCACTATATAGCCCAGGCTGGTCTCGAACTCACAGCGATCCTCCTGCCTCAGCCTCCCGAGTGCTGGGATTACAGGCGTGTGCCACCACGACCGGCTAAAATAATTTTAAATAGGTATGGTGGCACATGTTTATAATCCCAGAACTCTGAAGCTGAGGCAGGAGGATCCCGAGTTCAAGCCCAGCACATGCAATTTAGCTACTTAGTGAGACCTTGTCTCAAAATAAAAAAACCAAAACAAAACAGGCTAGGGATGTAGCTCAGTGCAAAGACTCTGGGTTCAATCCTTACTATTGACAAAAAAATTTTAAAAGATGTTATAATTACTAAGAGTCCAAACAAACAGACATTTACAATTATGTCCAGAGCAAAGGAGCAGAGAAGAGCTGAGCCAACCCCTGCTGTGCTGGGCGCTGCTCAGAGAAAGCTCCATCTTGCTTTCCTCAGCTGTGCAAAATGAACACACTAAGTACTAACGAGGGATTAAAGTCAGAAGAGAAGGAACCAGGGAAAAAGTACATCGGATGCCCAAATGAATTAAAATCTCCTGGCCCCCAGAACACTGAGAATTGCAGTGCGACAGCCAGTGGCTTTCCTGTGGTCTCTGAGAACACACAGGATGAGGAGAGAGAAGCTCTGTGTGGCCAGGATGGGCCAGCATGTCCTGAAAGTGGACAGGCAACAAGAACTCTGTGAATTAAGAGCAGTGATGAATGCAGGCGATATGATCTAGGTGATATTAAAAGACACCCTGAAAACAACATACTAATAAAACCTTGAAATTAAAGTCCATGAAGTATTCTCCCGGGATGCTACATCACTGATGTAAGAACTACTTTTACTTGGGCAAGGAGGGCTTGGCCCATATACAATTACATTTAAAAAAAAAATGGTGGTAAAAACACTTCATTCTTAGCCAGTTCAACAGTGTTAAGTACATGTACACCGTCATACAACAGGTCTCCCAAATATTTTTCAATCTGTAGACCTGAAACTCTCTCTTTATTCATAAAATAGTAACACCTCATTTCCTCCTCCCTACAATCTTCCTTTTGTATGTATGTAGATACATTTTGAGGCAGGGTCTCATTTTGTAGTTCAAGCTGGCTCTGAGCTATGTGGCCCAGGCTGGCCTCAAACTCTCAGCAATCTTCCTGACTCAGCCTCCCGAGTGCTCAGAGTACAGGGGTGCACCACCATGCCTGGCTATTTATGTTTCTTTGAGAAAGAGTCTCACTGTGTAGTTCAGGCTCACCTTGAACTATGTAGCCCAGGCTGGTAATCCTCCTGCCTCAGCCTCCAGAGCACTAGGATTATAGTCATGTGCCACCAAGCCCAGCTAATCATATCTTTAAACATCTGCCTTCCTCTTTAATTTTAAAATACAGAACCTCTTATGTTCTGCATTTTTTTGTTTTAAAATGAAAGCTGCCTAGTTGGGTATGGTGGTGAATGTCCCAGCTATTCAAGAGGCTGAGGAAGAAGGATAGCAAGTTTAGTAAGACCCTGTCTCAAAAAATAAAAAGGGCTGAGAATGTAGCTCAATGGTCATGTGCCTGCCTAGCATTTGTGGAGGTCTGGATATGAATCCACCAAAGAAAGAAACAAAGAAACAAAGAAAGCTGCCTTGACTTCCCCAACTTGGTGCATCATAACTTCCTCCATCTCCTGCATGCTGGATTATTTCTAATTTGATGCTGGCCAAACCAGGACCAGCCCAGGCCCTAGGGATGGGGGTGCACAGACAGGCACATGGGCGGTCCTAGGCAGGCCACTGCTACGGGACAGGGTTCATGGCTCTGAGGTGGGATGGTAGAGCTTCTGGACCCAAGAGACCCAGGCTCTGGGCCGGTTACAGATGGCCTTTTGGGACAGAGGCCACTGCGAAGAGGCTGCTGCGACCCGCTGGCTCAGCTTGAGTGAGCAGGAGGAAAGCACACTGTGAGGCAGCCGGCCTTGTTAGCTCCATCGGGATGGCAGGATGGAGCTCTGAGATGGGCTCAGACAGGGGTAGGCATGGCCACCCACCAACCTTCCTTCCTTAGAATTTTTCCCTTTGAATGTCTTTTACAGGAATGGATTAGAATCAAGGAGTATGTACACAGCCTTTGATTTTTCTGATTAAAAAAATCAACAAAATAAAACCGACACAGCACTAAGGGCGAAGCATCTGGCTGACATCCTGAAAAGCTAAGTTCTTTCTTCATTTGGAGTACTGCCCACAGAATTTTACTTAAACTCACCCATTTTCCAGCTTTTGGCTCTGATACCAAATTACTGAGTATTCCAGCTCTTCAGCGGTAAACGCAGATTTGAGGAAGGCACCATATACCAAGGGACTTTATGAATGATAAGACTGCTCTTGTCACACACTCACCCACAGTGTGGCGTTTGCCCAGCAAAAGCTAAAGAGGGAACATGTACAACGCTTGGCAGGGAAGCGGCCCCTGGCTTTTGCCCATGGTGGGAGGCCCTGATGGAAACAATGGGACATGGAGGGGACACAGATCTACCCAGCCAGGAGCATTCCTGAATTTGGGGAGGTCCCATAAAGATCCACTGACTGGCCTGGGTGCTGTGCTGCCGTCCTCCCACTGTCCTCCCCTGGGACTGGGGACTTCCTCGGCACCAACCCAGCGAGTGGGCCATCTATTGCTAAGTGGTATCTGTTGGTTTGGGGCTTTATGAAATCATTCTATTGTCATTAAGTGCTGTGAGGGCCTCAGGCAAGTCTACCCTTATTTATGAACAAAATGCTTTGTTTTTTGTTTGAGACCCTGTCTCACTATGTAGTTGAAACTGACCTGGAACTCACTATGTAGCCCAGGCTGCTCTAGAGCTCACAGCGATCCTCCTGCCTCAGCCTCTCGAGTGTTGGGATTAAAGGCGTGCACCGCCATGCCTGGCAACAAAATGCTTTTAATTGTATAATGACTGTATTCCCAACTCTGCAGAGTAAAATTTTTGAGGCCTCCTTGAGAAAGATGCATTGATTTTATCTGAAACCAGACCAACAATGCTTTCCTTCCCTCTCTGTAAACTGTGTGTGGGCAGGGGGCTCAAGTGCCTTGCTCAGGGCTGTGCCCAATACTTAGGAGGACATCTAGTGGCACCAATCAGGGACTGGATTCATCTGCAGTCAGGCTGGGCCTGTGCACCTCCTTCTCCACCCGTCTGGTCACTACTCAGTGGATGAATTTATAATTAAGTGGGATTCTTCATAATGAAGTTTCAACTAATCAATTGAACCAGAGAATTAGGCTCTATCTGGCCACACGCAGTCCCAGGGCTGGCTAGCAGCTGTTCCTGCTGAGGAAACACGTTAAAGTCTGTAGACACTGTGTCATCTCAGGTTACTTGTGTCCCCCACCTCCAACTTTTCAGGGCCTAGTACAGGGGAGATGTCAGGGCAGGAGCCAGACTTTGCTAACTATAGCAGGCAGATGGTGGTTGAACTAAGGGGTGAGAAGCCAGAGGGCGGGTCTCTGGGGGTGGGTGTTCTTCAGACTCAGCTTGTAGGGATTTACCAGCAGTAAGAGGTCTCAGGCTTTTCGGACACTGCTGGGCCTCCATCACCCCAGTGCTGAAAGGGCTCATGGCCCTCAGTGTTGACCAGAAGGAAAAAAATGATACAGTACTAGTTTAAATTCATTCAGCACATCTGGCTAACAGGTTGAGGGGACCTGAGGTCAGGGCAGCATCAGTGCACATGACACATGGTGTCTCTCACCTGCCACAGGTGCCCATGTGATCTTAGCCCAAAGGTTAATTCTCTGTGCTCTAGAGAACACAACTGCCTCTTTTCCTCCTTCTTGCACAGAGTTAATGGGCAAGAGGTAGTCACATATATGAAGCTCTTTGAGGCCTTGGGAAAGGGCTATATGAATCACATCTGCAAAACACAGCCAGCTCAGGTTTCAGTTTCCTAACTTCCTGAGCCTTCCCTGACTTAGAATACCTTAGTTTGTTAATGGTGCTGATCATGTGCTCTTGCCAACAGCAGATGGCGCTACTAGAGCAAAATGAAATGAAGTGGTTGTCATTTTAAGATTTTGTGCATTTGGTGGTGGTGGCGGTGGGGAGAAGGAAAACAAATGTCCTACATCCTCCTATTTATCAAATCCAAGGCTCTCTGAACAGAGCCAACATTCACAGTGTGTTCACAGAAGTTGATTTAGGAAGGGAATGTGGTGATTCCCATTTTATAGGCGACAGATTGCTGAAAATCGTACCAGCTGCCAGGTCAGACCAAAGCAGGCCCCGTGTTTCTGGCTCTAAGCCATGTTCTACAGAGGCTTCAGGAGGCTGGCCCTTCGCTCACCACTTTCTAACCCCAGTGGCTGGGTAGGATAAGACTTTGGTTATTGGGTTCCATATGGTCATGAATAGGAAGTTGAGTATTTCTAGTTAAGCCATGTTCTTTCAGGTGGCTCCCCATAGTGACCACAGGAGGATTTCCGACACCTAGTCCTGGAACTCTGCAGCAGGAGAGACCACTGAGGTCACCCAGCTCAGTGACTGTTAGATGGCTGACACCGGAGCCACCTGTGAAAGGTAGACTCAACTCTCAGGCCTCAGACCGCAAGAATCAAACTCTCCAGAGATAGGGCTTCCAAAACTGAACTTATTTCTAATAAGATTCACCAAGTGATTCTTAACAAAACGAGACAGTCAAAGGCCAGGGATTTAGCTCAGTGGCACAGCGTCTGGCCGGCAAGCAAGGTCCTGAGTTCAATCCCCGCTATCAAAAAAAAAAAAAAAAAAAAAAAAAAAGACAAGAGTCAACAGTTCAGCAGAATGGCTGTTGTAATGCACTCATCTATTCACCTCCTTCATTTCACAGTAAATAATAATGACAAAGATAATAATTAACAAGTTACGTTCTAGGTGCCAGGCACTTCATATAAAGTAACTCATCTGGCCCATGTAAATAGTGCTAGGAGCAGGGACTTTTATTATTATCCCATATGCAGATAAGGAAAAGTGAAACCCAATCCTTGCCGCTGGAGTGAGGAAAAGTTTCATCAAGGAGATTTCTTATGTGTACTTTGGATACATTTCAACCTTCCTTTTAGGCCAGTTTTAAGCCTCATACGCAGAGGCTGATTTCTGGACCCACAGTTGCCTTTTGGTTGTATTGGCTTCAAAATGCCAGTACTATATATCTTTAGAAATACTAGAGATAGCCTCTGTCCATCAGAAAATAATGACAAGTTTGAACTGAGGAATGAAAGATACAGGTCTTATTAATTATATAGTCTGGCCTTAGACTGGATCATAAAGGATTTGTTTTACTTTCTTGTGAAACTTTGGATTTCTTGACAAGATCTGTAAGCGCTGGTATACCTATTTGTATTACAGAAGGCATTATTGTGAAGAGTGCATACAGGAGAAACTGTGGATGTATCTGAAGAGCCTGGACAGGTGTGTGTGAGAAGTGGTGACTCGAGAGATCTGGGACAGCAGTGACGGGAGCCAGAGCAGAAACCATGGCCTACTAGGACTCGTCCTGCAGGGGTCTGTTGGCAGAGAAAACTTTCCCCAGGAGGTCAGCTCCTTTGTGAAGGTGTCTGGGATGCCTATGAGAGATGGGCTTTTGAAGGTGAAGATGCTGATTAAAAGACTTCCACAGATCCCTTCAGCATCCCCAGGGGGTCTGGGTCCTAAGGCCTAGCGTGCAGACCCTGGTTTGCCAGTCCCGAGTTCTCTCATTAGCCCATGGTCCTGCCATACTCCTGAAACATGGACAGATTAAGTCACCTCACAGAGATTCCTCAGGGAAGCAGCAGCTATTAAACGGGCTTTGGCAGATTCAATTACAGACCTGGTCCTAAACTGCAGCTGCATAGCCCAGGTGACAGGATAATGTCAAGTATGATGCAAAAGCAACACCAGGTGAATCCAAGACTCAGAAACTTGTGCTCTGTCTGCCATGGCGTCACCCATGTCTGGTGTGTTGGGGCATTTTGATAAAACGCACAGTAAATGAAGGACCCGATGGAAGAAAGCAGTGCCAGCGAGTGGAGATGACTCACCTCAGTGCGCTGTACCCCTGGCACACACTGACACAGCACAGGACCTTTTCCTGGTTCGCCTGGGTCTCCCCTAAATACTTGCACACGATGTTACCCCCGAGACTGAAGCCCACGACGACCAGCTGGGTCAGGGGGTATGTCTTCCTGATGTAGTTCACCATGGCTCCGAACTCCCACGTGCAGCCTGCGGGCAAAAGGGTGACATCGCTCAGTCCCTTTAGGGGCAAAAAAATTTTGGAGAAAATGTATGCTGAGTGCCGATATATTAAAGGAGAGAAAAATAAATATGAGTATGTATCTGTGTTGAGAGAGTCAGAGAGACAGAGATAGACACTGTCCTTTGACTGCCTGGAGAGAAGTTCCCGGGTGCCACCCACCTCGTATTAGAGAACACAGGGCATCAGTAGTGCCCATGAAAGGAGATATCATGTACCACATAGTGTACAATGCTCCTTTAAAGGTGGGTCAGGAGAAACCCATCTAGATGCTCATGGGCACTGAATTGTATATTCGAGTGTGCATGAGCACATATGTTCACAGATACAAATAAAACCAAGAGCAAACCCCTTCGGGATTAGCATCTCAGGCTGCAAACTGGGATGCTACCCCATGTGTGCAATGATTCACGGTGTCAAGAAAAGTACTAAGTGGATGTTATTTACAGGATTGTCTTGTCAGTGTCGAGGACAGAAAGGAAGACAGACTTCAGCCCAGAGGGACGGCCAGGATGCTCTCTAGGCTTAGGGTACCATGTTCTTGGTGACATAGGAACAGGGAGCCCAGGGAGCAGATCCATTCAGAAATATTCAGAGGAGCGCTCTGAACAGATAGGGTGTCTGGGCCTGGTTAGCCCAGAGGAATTATCTCAGCTGGTGTCCCACACACAGCTGTTGAAGCCATGCAGTCTTAGCAGCCTTGCTAAGAGGCAGAGACTTTAATGGCCATATACAAGTGAAGGCAATCATCACATCCTTTCAGGTCCAAGCCCAGAGTCCAGGGAGCTAAATTAGAGTAAAATCTAATGGCGAAAGTTAGGGATCTTGCTGAGAGGTGTGTACCAAGCAGACTAGTTCATGCAAGAAGAGCATGGTCTTTCCATGGAAAAAGAGCACAAACTTCCTGTGGAAATGTGAGTTGGGATCTGGATACCACTCAGCAGTCCTGACATCCCTAACAGATTGGAACAGCTCCCTCCCTAGCTAGCAAGCTGTCTTTGGAGCCAAGCTGTCTACAGCTGCAGCAGGTCAGTTTGAGAGATGGGCACTTCTGCCCCCCCCCAGAAGCTGATTCCATGAGCTGGGGGCCAGGCCCTGGAATCTGCATTAAACATGTTTTTGAGTAGGTAACCTGTGTATATGATACAAAATTCAAATGATGTAAAAGATAAGGAAAAGAATAAGTTTTCTATACTCTCTCTCTCTCTCTTTTTTTTTTTTGGTACCAGGGATCCAACTCAGGTCCTTGTGTTTGCGAGGCAGGTGGAGGAACCACTGAGCTAAATCCCCGGCCCCCCTTTTTTTTTTAATGCCAGAGGTAGCATATACATTGTTTAGTATCTTGCTTCATCCTTCTAAAATATGTCTTGGAAACCATTATGTATCAATATACATAAAACTGCCTTACTCAGGGCAACCCTATTCCCCGCTTCTGTCTCTTTTAGCCAGAAGCTTTCTCTTGATAAATTTTTCCTACTTTTAAAAAACTGCCTTGTTCTATGTAGGTATGTTTTTTGAGACAGGGTCTAGCTATGCAGTTCACACGGGCCTTGAACTCACTATATAGTCCAGGCTGGCCTAGAAATCTTGGTGATCCTCCTGCCTCGGCCTCCTGGGTACTGAGATTACAGGTATGTGCCACTGTGTCTGATAGAGTTCTCTACCAGACAAAATAGCCCCAATGGTCCTACGTTCTAAAATGGCTCCTGCCCCTAAAATGGTTCCTGTTTATGGGAAATGAGCCGCTGGAGGGGGGGGGTAAAACCTACCCCCTCTGGAGAAGTAAAACCTACCTTGTTGCTCTACCCTGCTACCCATAGGGTCCTCCCCTTCCAATCACCTGCCAAAAAATGTGCTATCATTGATTTTTTGCATATTTACACAAGGGTACCACTGTCCAGGGCAAGATGAAGAATATTCTTAACACCTCCCGAGGCCCCTCAAGCTTCTTCCCAGATGTAACTCCCATACTTTTGATTCCTAATCACAATCTGAAAGCCATGGGAGCTCCTGGGACTTAGAAGGTGGCAGAGGATGTGTAAGACTAAGAAAACCAGGGGCCAAAAGCTGCTCCCTACAAACATTCTAAGACCCGGGCATCACGTGAGACAGATGCATACTCTTTCTGCAGGGAGATCTTAGAGGAAAGCAGAGGTGGGGCAGCGGGCAGACCTTCAATAAAGATGAGGAATCAAGTGCATCCTGGCCTCTCAAGGGTACTGCAGTCAGGCTGCTGAAGGAACAAAAAGCTGGTCCAGAGGGAACCCTGGCCTCTTAACTGTGCAATTGAAGGGCCAGTCTTTCATCCCTACTTAGGTCAGATTCATCCCATTTCCCCTTTTCTCAAAAGGCAGTAATGGGCTGTGTTTCAGGTGGGAGCTGGGATGTAAAAGAAAGGGGCTCCAAATGCACTCAGCAGGTATCATAGCTGCTCAGTCCCACAACAAATGAGAAGTCAGAAATGCCATGAGTCTGTTCACCCCCCTCAGGTCATAGGGAATCCTAAATACGGGCCTTCGAGGAGCAGCCTGGCCTCATGGCTCAGTGAAGGGGCTCTGTGGTTGGGTCCCAGGCCTACCACTGAGTGGTTCTCATGCTCCCAACCTCCCTCTGATGACAAGTAGGACAACAGACACAGAAAACAGAATGGGGTCTGCGAATAGGTACTTTCAACAAATACCCCAGATAACTTTTTATCCTGAGGGGATTTTGGGAATTATTGTTACCTTGGGCAAATTACCAAATGCTCTGGATCTGTTTCCTCATCTGTTAAATAAAGGTAATAACAGTAAATATCTCAGAATTTGGAGAACTGAGTAAGGTGAACATTAGATCAAAGTCTAGAACATAGGAAACACTTCTTTTTCCCTTTAAAAATATAATTTAGGAGCCAGGGATTTAGCTCAGTGGTTCTGGCACCTGCCTTGCAAGTGCAAAGACCCAAGTTGATACCCGGTACAAA